TGCCAATGGGATGCCCCTGATTTCTTATGAACAATAGGATGCTTTGACCCCCAGATGTGCTTGTAATACCCATGCTGGGGCAGTAGAAACAGGCAGGTCCCCGGGGCTCACAGGTCAGCCCCCAAAAAAAAAAAAAAAAAAAAAAAAAAAAAAAAAAAAAAAAAAGTAGATAACCTAAGTTGAATGGGAAACTTTTATATTGGGGAAGTGTTTCCAAAATGAGTGATTCAAGTCACAGGCTTCAGGCACGGTTGTGTAGTTTTCATACTTGGCAAAAGTGACCAAGGCAGGGATGGGAATCACGGTGGTAGGGTTTCAACTCAGCTCTCAGTTTGCAGACCTACCCATGGCAAGGGATCTATGGGAGGTTTGCTTGATAGACTTACAAAGGCCAGTGAGATGATGCCCTGGTATACCTGGGGGACAGGGGACATTTGAGAGTTCAGAGAGTTCTCTCTAGTTCCATGTTAGCTAGGAGCAGCTTTTAATTTGGAAAAAGTGAAGTTAATATATTTTCTTTGTGCCTAAAAGTTGATTGGGCAAGAATTACTTTATGCACTGCGCACACACTGTACACGTGTGATCATATGTGTGTACACGTTTAAGTGAAGATGTTTCTTGAGTATCTTTCAGCCCTTACTTTCTCTAGTGCACAATTTCCTACTTACCTCCCTAAAACAATTACCACTGCTTTTCTCAAAATATTCCAGCGTCTCAAGGAAAATGGAAATCATTTTATTGTGACAACAAACAGAATCGAGGAACACAAAATTCATTTCCTTTTGAGTTTACCTTCATGATAGTGAAAAAGGAACAAAAATTAAAATAAATTTGAAGATTTTAGGATAAGAGGAGAAATGTCATATATAACGGATATAACAATCCCTAGACATTATTTTAGACATTGCTTTAGAAATATCCCATTTATATCAGAGATCTTTCAGGAAGGGCTTTGTTTGTTTGTTTGTTTGTTTGTTTGTTTGTTTTAATTGAAATCAGGAAAGATAAAGTTAAATGGTCAAGATTCTATGGGACACACCACAAATCAGGTATTTCCCAGTCACTATGTAATAGTCACACAAATGTTTTCAGATCCACTTACAAAGAGCAAGATTTAAAAATGTGTATACGGGACAAAAGATATTTCACTTACACAGACACCATCCATTCGCCAACCAGAATATTCAAAAGCACTTCAGAGATGGTGATTTCTGAAGTGACCAAAAGAACTCATTTCCCCCAACATTAAGTTAAGGCCAGACTTACTGACTCCAGACAGAAAGCAGTTATGTGGGGATATTGTATTGTTATTGCCTGCAATTTAGATAAAGCAAGGGCAAGCAGGGAGCGCATGCACGTACCACACACAATCTTAAAACTAGTCTAGCAACATGCTTAAGCTTTTTCTTTTTTCTTTAGGTTTGGAACAAAGTGAAAGCCATTCCTTTTAAAACATTATGGGAGGAAAAACCAACAACCACCACTTTGCTGTTTTAGGAACAAGTGGAGACTCACTTCTCAAGGGCACATGAGTTTAGGCCCTGTAGTTGGCTCCTCACTAGTACTTGAAACTGTTGCTGCACAGCCACTAATGCCAGGTAGGGAAATGCACAAGGAAACTGCATTTCTCTGTTGTGTTCCTTCCTTTGAGTTAAAGAATGCTTCAAAATAAAAGCTATGATCTTTACATAGATAAGGACTTATCCCCACTGCTTCTCAGCTGGGTCTTAACCCCAACCCTAACCCCACCAACCAGGCTGATTGTCCTGTTGTTGACACAGAGCAGCAGCTGAACCTTAAACTGTCGGAAACTTCTATAAAATTTGGCATTCTCACATGGTCAGTGATGGGGCCTTGACAACATGACACTGTCATCTGATAAGCTACAGTCAAGAGTCACTCCATTGTTTTGCTTGGATGTCAAAGAGTTAAGTACTTTTAATGTCTTAATAGGTAAATTATCTAAACATGTATACAGTCCTGTTGCACATCTTCTCAGAGTCCAGAGTGGGTCTGAGAGGCCCATGGATGGTTAGGGCTGTTTACCTGGAGTGATGTAACTGTATAAGACCAAGCTTTGATGAGAACCACAGAGACTGATTTTGGTGAGTTGATGTGCATGGTGATCACATGCTCATATAAGAAACCAGAGGACATAATTTTATGTGAATGAGCTTTTTCAAATGTTGACAGTGTCTATACTCTTGGGGAGAAGCTTATCAGTAGGACTTTAATGAAGAGAAGAATATTTTTCCTCAAGCCCAATTTATTTTAAAGATAGGCAGTGCAGTCATCTTGTGTGTTTATACGTGTGTGTGTGTGTGTGTGTGTGTGTGTGTGTATGTGATATGTGAAACACACACACACGATGTCTTGGCAGTGCAGTCATCTTGTGTGTTTATACGTGTGTGTGTGTGTGTGTGTGTGTATGTGATATGTGAAACACACACACACACGATGTCTTGAGATGACTGAGGTGACAAGATATTCTTCATGCTGCTGTTTGGAATACAAAGATCCAGGTGGCTAGGCAAAAGAGAAGTAACAGGAAGTCTTGCATAGTCACTGTGAGGAGGATGGCTTATTCAACAAGTGTAAAGTTGTATACAGAAAGGCCTTGGTAAGAGAAAAGTGACATTGAAATTGACACAGCTTTCTTCATTTCCAGATCTCTTATGTATTATCTAGGATGGACATGTTGATGGCAAGGTGAAGCCAAGATTTCAAGACTTTGGTTAAAATGCTGTGAGAACAGAGAAAGGAGGACCTCTTGGACCATAGAGATCCTCTTCTGCTCTCTTCCGGTTTCTTCCAGTTTCAATCAGTGCCTGGGAGTAGGTGGGGCATCAGCCATGACATTTTTTAGGATTTTTAGAAATTACTATTTCCAACCTTGAAATTCCATGCTTGAGGATAACTTAAAATATGCAATCCTGGAAGATTTAGCACCAAATCCTTGCACTTTTCATGGTACTCCTGTCTCCGATTCCAAATTTGTTGCTGCAAATAGTCGTGAAGGTACTAGGAATTCCTTCATGTAACTCAGAAAACAGCCCAACAGCCTTCTCTTTTCAATCACAGACTTAAGTCCAACATTTTAGAATTCATGGGCACTTCCAGGTTGAACCTCATGGAGATTTTATGCACACACGTACAATGAATGGACGGCAAAAGAAAACACTGGGTAATAACCAGCCCAAGCATGCCCAGTGTCTCTACAGGAGGTAAGTAGTTCTGAATGAACCAACTGTTTGGCACTGGACATTTCCCCCATTCACCCTGTTTGACTGTATTCTGTGCCAAATCAATTTGAGAATAATGATAAGCAAAGACAAGGATTATTTTAAATCTACCTAACACTGGCAGTGTCTTATCAACCAGAAGAGATGTAACTATCTGTTATCTAACTTTTGACATCTACCTTAGCACTCAGGAATGGTGAGGTCCCAGCTGCTGGCCTGAACTCCTCTTTGAACTGTGACTTTCTTCATTATTCATGATACCCTCAACTCCAGCTACAGAATCTTACTCCATATCACTTTCTACTAGATATATGCATGAAGTTAGCAATAAAATACCTGGTATCTGCAGTGTGAAAGATGAGTGTAGCTTCTGTATTTTACATCACATTCTTGTTTCTGTGTCACCAAATTATGATTTGACATAACACAGAGATTCATTTCCACAAATCATTTCACCTGTGAGAGGTGCAGATTCATGCACCTCAGATACAATTATGAACTAGAACCCCAAATCTAGGATTTCAGTAGGACCCCTCTATGCCACATGACCTTTCAATAAGGTCATGACTTTGAATAAATCATACTGAAAAGGTATACTTCTGAAAAATTTCCCCCAGACTCACCCATCAAACATTTTCCCCACAGGAATACCCAGTACCATTGAAGTGAATAGTTAACATTCAAGGTGCTGAGACCATGTCCACATGATGAAAAGTGTTTTGGAAGGGAATAAATGAGTGCATTACTAATGAACGATTTTTTCCCCTTTATAAAAAGTCACTGAATTATGCTATCCAGGCAGCCCACTGCCTGATAATGCATTGATAAATGGAGGAATAGACAATCACATTAAGAATGTCAGAACATCATTTGCAATTCTCAGAGTCGGTATTCAGAATCAACAAGCAATGAACTTCCTCTCAAAATTAGAGGTACTGACTCACCCAGCGGAGCTGTAGCAACACGTTCAGTAGAGGGCTGAGATGTTGCTTAGTGGTAGAGCATTTGCCTAGCACAGGTAAGACCCTGGGTTCTCCCTAGCACTTCAAGAGCACAGAAGACCGAAGAGATATTCTTTGCTCTCAAGGATCCTTATTTTAGGGAAGTGATTTTCAAACTGCATTGGCTGAGACCCACAGTAAGAAATATATTTCACATTGCAATGCAAATTCATGTGTGTATCTGAGTCAAAGATTTCTAAAGCAATGTTTATTTCACTATTGAAAGTGTATGTTCCATTACATTCTATTATACTTTAAAAATAAATGCTACTTGCAAGCCATGAAATTAATATCCCTAAAGGGGAGCCTTGACCTACAATTTACAAAAACAGTGATTTACCAGTTATAGCTTGTGTGTGTGTGTGTGTGTTATATACTTGTGTGCTTGTGGGTATACGTACCCATTCAAACTAGAGGTTAACATTGGGTGTCTTCCTCAATCACTGCTTTCACAATTTTTGAGACAGTCTCTCACTGAACCTGGAGCTCATTGATTTGACTAGAGCCCCCAGGGTCTGCCTATTTCCATGACCCCCTTGTCCAGTGCTGGGCTTACAGGCACCTGTTACCACCACAAGCAGATTTTAACAGGGTGCTAATGATCCAAACTCAGAGACTCATGTTTTCCCAACAAGCGCTTTTCTGATGAGCCACCTTTCTAACCCCCTTGTCTACATTTTTGAAGATGAATGAATGAAGACACTTTCACAAAAAAGGGTATTTGTGAGCTGAGTAAAAACCACTTTAAGAACAAAGAGTGGCAGATAATACAAGACACAGTAGTACATGATAGAACTCAATAAAATGTTCGTGAGATAGTTATCAGAAAATAGTAGAAGAAAAAGAAGCTACCATGGACAGGCCATAGCACATCAGCAGGTAAGTCAGCTGAATGAGTTGCAAGCACACAGAAGGGGATGCGAGAATTTGAACAAAGATTTTAGGTTGAACAGGAAGCGAAATGGCAGCTGCTGTGGCTTTCAGTGCTAGATATTTTTGTTAAAATAATGAGCCTAAGGGTCACAGTGGCACATGCCTTTAATTCCAGCACTCAGGAGGCAGAGGCAGGCTCTAGATGTGGGGAGGTGGGTAAGAAACCACAATCTTACCTGAGGGTATATTGTCAGCTCATGGCTGCTGGGAAGGGGACAGTCAATGTCTTTAAGGGTGAGACTCTTGGTAAGTTGTCTCTGGTGAGGCGCTGGTGGATGAACCCACACTGAAGGGCATTTGGGGATACAAATTTGGTTCTATGTGCATAATAGAGTACATGAAATTGGGCAGGAGGTAGTAGGAGAGGGTGCAGATGGGGAAGGGGATCTAAATAAAACTATACTGCATGAAAGTCACAAAAATTCAATTTATAAAAAAATGAAAAAATAATTGTGTTGGGGGAAGGTATTTTGTAACCTGAATTTTTCCCTTTTCCCCTTCTGTTTAAAACTATCATTGTATTATAGTATCACAATGTGTAATATATCAAATATATTTATGAATTGAATCTTTGAACCCCTAGCCCCTAGAGTGCTAGAAACTCCATTTCCTCACTCACCAGCTCTTGGTAAGCTTCATTCCTATCGTCTCTTTCTATGAACCCAACTTTGAAGACCCTACACATTAGTGACACGTGCAGCAATTATCTTTTGTTATCTGGCCTATTTCTCTCAACACAATATCCTCCAGGGAGGCTGGAGAGATGGCTCAGCAATTAAGAGTACTGGTTGCTCTTCCAGGGGGCCTGAGTTTAATTCCCAGCACCACATGGTGGCTAACAACTATCTGTAACTTGAGTTTCAGGGACTCTGACGCCTTCTTCTGACCTCCTTGGGCACTACACAACATGGGTGCACTTACATACATGCAGACAACACATTGATACACATAAAATAAAAATAATGAGTAAAATATATTTTAAAATAAATTTTTAAAAATATAGGAAAAAATATCCTCCAGGTTCATCTTTGTTGTCATAAGTGAGAAGGTTCCTTTTTTTTTAAAGGCTGAACAATGTTTACCACTCATGTATGCTACAGAAGCTATTATTTTCATATGTATTTTTATGTCTAATTTGGTGGTCTCTTAATAAATCTTGAAGGTTTGTGATTAGATAGGCACATATTACCTTGGCACTTGCTAAATTTTAAATTTCATTGCATAATGTTGAGGACATCCATGTACACAAGATTTTACTTTTACCCAGTGAGATAATGTAACAATATGTAGAAATTCACTTAGGTTGGCATGGAAGTATTTAGTACATTTGTATTAGTAATTTCCTTTTTAAAAATTTTTATTGAAGTTTTGTGTATTTCATAGAGAAAATCATCTTCATACCCCCTTCCCCTTTGGCGCCTTCCCATAAACTCCCACTAGACTTCATCCATTCTATCATTTGTGTTAAGGCCTATCATGTAAACTTAGTATCCCCAGATGTCCCTCAGTGCAAATTCATACACTGGGATCTAGTTAGCCTACCTAGAGTCCCTTACTTTAAGAAGAGCAGCTCTTTCTCACCCAGTGGTAATCAGCTGCCAATAATTCTTTGACTAAGATTAGGGCTTGCTATTCATTTCCACAGTTCTGTGCTGGGTTTTTGCCTGCCTAAGTTTGCATGGGTCTTGTGTATGCTGATACCATTGCTATAGGTTCATATGAGAAGAGTCCCAGGAGCCTGTATGGTCATGCACTCCTCTCTGGCTCTTACAATCTTTCCACTCCCTCTACCACAATGATTCCTGAGCCCTGGGTGGATAGATTTTAATATAGGAGTCCTGTCTAAGCACCCATACTTTGCAGAGTTTTATTCTCTGTGTTTTGGCCATCAGTGACCTTTTGCGTTCCTGGCCCTCTGCTGCATGAGGGAGCTTCATTGGTGAGAACTGAAAGATGTATTATAGTGTTCTCTTCCTCTCTTTTTCTGTGTTCCATGAGCCTTAGACATAGAGGCTGCATCCTAGATGTGCCACCTAGGCTTGGGCAATTCACAGACAATCTCTGTGTGTGACCAGTTGTGGAACTCTGTTACTATGTCTGTCTCTTGCAAAAGAGGCGTCTTTGATGGGTAATGACTGTGAATTGTCTATAAATTTAAGAATCCATATTACATTTGTTTAGGGATGTGACAGCCTTGGAGTTTTCTGTAAGATCTATGACCTCTCCAGCTATGTGTATTTGGCTAGGTTTACAGTACCACACATGAATTTCCTCCCACTGAGTGGGTTTTAAGTCCAGTTAGGTAGCTGTTGATTACCCCCAAGATGAAAGTGCCACTACTGCACCAATGTCATTTGTTGTTCTAGTCATTAACGTGGCTTTTAGGCCTTGAAGCTGGGGTTGGATCATCAATTGATGTTCTCCCTTTGCAGCTTGCATGGTGTTCTCCAAAGCTATGAGAGCTATCCTTCAGGGGAGGTGGCTTCCAGGTCAGTTCAGTTCCAGCTCCATTGCTCCAACTCCTGTGTCCAAAGTATGTTCTGTCTTCATCAGTAGGGTCTGGACCTTCAAATTTTGGGAAGCCATCAAGGGCTGTGGCAAGAGCTTGTGTAATTTTGGGAGTCTCTTGGATTACCCTGGCCAAAAACTCAAAGGAAGTTTTCTCCTGTCTAGCACTGTTTCTTGTTATGTAGCCTTCAGCTCTACTCATCAACTCATGTAGATATATTGTGTGTGTAATTTTTCAGTAGGTTTTTGGACTGATACCATTCCCTCTGTTTTTTTTTTCAACTAGCTAGACACTATTTATCTCTCTGATTTCTCTCCTTGCCTTATCCTCCCTCCCCACCCTCCCATTTAAAGTGTTCCCATTTCCCCATTTCTCCCTTGGTAATTTCTATCTCCTATGGCCTCACCTCTTTTGAGCTCCTAGTAATTTCTTTAAAAAAATATTTTATTTATTATTTTATGTACATGTATGTAAGTGGACCCATGTGGGCAATGCCCACAAAAGTCAGAAGGCATCAGATCCCCTGGAAATGGAGTTACCGATGGTTGTTAGCCACCATGTAGGTGCTCAAAATCAAACCCAAGTCCTCTATAAGAGCAGTCAGTGCTCTTAACTGCTGAGGCATCTCTCCATAACCAGTAATTTCTTATATTTATAAATAAATATTTATAATTGGAATATAAGGAGTATGAAAGTACAGTATAGATTTCAAAAGATCATGTCTTTTCAAGGTATGGAATTTAAAAAGTAATAAAAGCAGGGGACTATTATAACCCATGGAATATTCAAGTTTCATACAATGTAAACAAGACAAGAGTTGTAGAGAACTGGGTGTCTCTGCTGTGAATATTTGATAGTGGTGATCAGAAGAGGTGTTTTTCAATTTTTGATGGACTTTAAATTTGCTGAGGGA